TCCTCCTCCCTCTTCCTTCTCCCTCCCTCCTGTCAAGACCTCATCTTACCCTGTTTCCTCGTTTATCTTCCTGTTTGTTCACTCCTTACATCTTCTGCTTCATGACTTTCTTTCTTCCTCAAGGTGCGAACCGCGCATGTGAAGGAGCTGGCGTCTAGGACAGAGCTTGAAAGTGACCACGCCTCTCCTCCTCTCTTCTCCTTCCTGACCTTCTCCTCTCCTCCTCAGGTTTCCTTCGTGACTGTCTTGCCGATGTCAAGAAGCAGGCTTGAGGAATCCTGCACTGTCCGCAGCTTCTTACCTCTCTTCAGATCACAAGACACAAGATGGAGTCCTTGGACAAAATCGCACAGACGGTGAGGCATCCCTGCCTCCTTCCTGTCTGCTACTGATAGTTCAGCAGAAGCACAACACCGCTAGCTCCCTGCATGAGACGGAGGACCAGAAAGAGGAGCGGGACAGGGTATAAGGAGGAGAGGGCAGGGTTGAGAACTGCTGGTCATTTTCTTTCTGCAGGTTTTGGAGCTGCTCTTGTCCCAGGAGAGGGTTATCACCCTTCTGTTTGAGAAGACCTTTCCTGATCAAGTGAGTTCTTCTCTTCATCTCATCTGTTTCCTCATCTCATCTCCTCCTCTGCTCGTGCTGTCCCAACACGTTCGTGATGCCTTCCTCCATGTTTGATCTTGCCCCCCCCCCGTCTACCCCTCCTTCTTGCAACCAAACCGGCGGAAGCTGAATGATTTCCTCTCGTGTAGGCATCAATGAAGCTGTTCGGAGGGCCAAGGCTCAAGAGAGAAGTGCGACTTTCCTTTCTGTCTTGTTGCCGCTGCGTTGAGACTGAGTGGCAGATGGATACAAACTCGACTGTTGACGGCAGCATGACACAGACTGACAAGGTAAGGACGGGTTATGTTAACCAACAGTCTAGTTGTGTATTGTGCCTCTAAATGAGATAACTTCATTCTGCCAGCTCGACGCCTCCACCTACGGGAGAGATTCAAGTATGCAGGTGACAAGCATCTCATACTTTCACGGAGCTTTCGCTTCCTCCCATCACAAACTTTCATCAGCTCCATCTCGTCTATTGCATGCTGTCTTGTCTGCTATGACCCTTGCTCCTCATGCGTTCACGGATCCTTCACGACCATAATTCCTTGAGATCACTTCCAGTCGCACCTGATATAATTTCTCAGGATTCTCTGAGCGAGCTGAACATGGAGGGATTGAAGCTGCGAGACAGTGAGAGCGGAAGATCTCAACTCCCCAAGATAGGACGAGACGTTTCGCGCTGAATGGAGGGTGTACTGTAGCAGAGCCTTATCTTATGTTCAGATGTATTCTTTAAGTTGTCGCTGTCGTCGTCACTCTATTTTTCCCTCTCCCCTCTCCTCGTCTCGACGTTTTCCAGCTTCCAGCATATCATTCTCTTGCCTCGTGTCCGCAATGATTCTCTTAGACCTTCACCATTCATCTTCTCGTCCCGTCCTGCTGTGTTCGCTCTGCAGTCTTCCCCTCGTCGAAAACAAAGTGGAATGCTGTCGTCCTTCGCCACCGACTCTCTCTACGACACTGACCCTCTCTACGAGTTTAGTTTCGATCCCACACCCAATCTTCCTCTAGCAGACGTATGTTGTTCATCGTATAAGGGCATCCCTCCTTGTCCTTCAAAGTCAACTTCTTGTCGCTAGATCGCCAGCTTCCCTTCCATGTGTAACTTCCAGCAGCAGTTGGTTCAGCGTCCTGTGTGATCCCATGGGCTCAAGAGCGAGGGAGAGTTATCAGTGAGTCTATCTACATCCTGCCTTTCCCTTACCTCTCCGAATATCTCCAGACCAATCCGTAGTCAACCAAAGATTTCAGACAGCCGATCAAATGTTTAACTTTTCAGCTGTCAACATTTGAACCTCAAAAGGCAGCAATTGAAAACGGAGGACCGGTTTGGCATGGCTCACGAAAAGTATCAATTTCGGCAATGGACGGTCGACTTTTAGCCCTCGCGCCGTGACTGACATTTTAGGCCCATCGGATACGCGAAGAGGTCACGTGGATTTTTTACATTTTAGTTGGTCACGGCATGTAGGGTACTTACCTACGGTGATGCTACGACCTCTGCAATAGAGCGTTACTGGGAATAGCATGTCCTAGGAACTTGGGATACATTGAGGCCCTAGCGCCCTACAGTAGCGCTCGCTATACTTTTGTGTCACGATGTGCCCTGCAGCAGGATGTTTGCAGTTCTCGTCGAAAGCTCCTAAGTGGGTGGGGTGGTCCGATTACTGGTACAACAATACCACTTGAGATCAGTCAGTGGGGGTACTGTTTCTGATACGGTGTATTCTGATGCTTTTACTAAGTTATATACAAAGTGATTATTACTATACTTTTTAATTTGCATGCGCACGATCCGGGAACACAGCATTAGTACCACACTCCTGGCAGGGTGGGGTCCATGCCGTGACCACTCTCTCAAAAACATTTTAACTTCAACGTTACAAGTGTTTTAAAGAGGCTGTTATCCATTTGAATCACTACTCATCGCCTACCCACCCTTATTACTTCTTCCACCCCTCCCTTTTCCATGGTGGTACGGCTGCCCTCGTTGCAATCCCAGCTCCGGAGGGATCCTCCTGGACCTACCTACCCCTTGACAGGATGAGTATTTGACCCCCGAAGGTACCAGTACCCCCAACGTTCTCATACCCCCACCCTCGTTTGAGACGCTCTCCTGGTCTTGTCCTACGTCCCTCCCACCCTCTTCGGAGAGGTTGACCCCTACCTCCTACCCGGGATTAATGATAGGTGGACGAATCACAGCCAAGACCACCCTACCCCCACACCTTTCCGTTAATTTTACACCGCCCACCTTCAACCACCCCTACTACCCTTCCGTACGTGCAAACCTACCCCACCCCCTTTAAGACTACATTCTTTGCCTTTTTCTAGCTTTTTTTTCCTCACGCACTCGCGCCGTGACGCCAAAACCCTTGGGTGGACACCACCCCCACCTATATTTACTACCCCAGTTCCCTATGAAAGAACCCCCTGAACCTTCCGAGGGGTCGAAGTAAGTTAGGGCGATAGAGGCGCCGAGGAAGAAGCACGAGAAGCTGCTTGTTCAGCAAGGGAAAGAGAGCTCCTCGTCCTACCCCCTACGCTCTCCGCTCCTCCCTTCACCTGTCTTTCTCCTGCAACCAGTAGCTTCATCCGCCCCTCCTCCTCGCCGCTCGCTCCTTGCTCTTGCGAACTCTTCCTTCAGCTTTACTTGTAGTGTTCCCAGACGAGGCCCTCGATATACACGGCCTCTTCCTTGCTTTGGTTTGAAAGCCTCAGATCTATCTCTTGCAATCAGAATTTGTCGCGATCCAGCATAACAGCCCATTTCCCCGGGCAGCGGAGCAAGAAATGGTGTCTTACGTCAACACCAAAGCGCCGCAGGACCACAAGAAAGGCTCTCAGACGGATTTTGTTTCTCAAGTGGCGACCAACAGCATTCCAAACAGCATCTGGAATACTCAGAACGTGGTGATGCTGAGTTCCCTGCCGAACAAAACATTGAGCCATGCCGAAACCTTGAGAAACGAAGATTTCATTCCCTCGGCGTACAGTCTTTTGCAGTCTCTTCAGAAAGCGAATGATGCACGTAGTTCTGATCAAACATCTGCTGTATCATCCATCTCTAGTGGTTCTTCATCCGTGGTAGCTGAGTATCAACAAACTGCTACAAGGGCGGAGGCCTCATGGGAGGCAGCCAGTAATGTTGGGAAACGATCTCACCCGAACTTTGAAACATTGGAAAACTCCTTGAAGAACAAAAAGCATCATCATGCAAAGCAGAGAGTGACAGCTCGTTGCCATCTGGGCATGAGAGAGTACCAAAGCAGGTGTACAACCTTTTACTTCACTTCTGTGCATGACCTTGTTTGCAGACGCTGAGTAGTGGGAATTCGTTCTTGCAATTCCTAGAAGTGCTAGAAACTGATGGAGTTGTCGTCAGACACTTTGGAAAAGTTCCAAGCAGGCTCAAGGGTAAGAGCTTTCTGATCTTTTCCCAAAGCTTCTTGTAGCACCTGCATGTATTTCACTCATCCGCTAACCATCTTGAAAAGGTATTTGTGGCTGGACGGTGAAGGATCATATGATGGACGAGTGGCATAGGAGGAGACGAGAATGGTTCATGGCGGGAAAAGAGGGAAAGATCTACAAACCCAACTCGCTGTACCAGATTCTTCGTAGACTAGGCTTCTTCCCCACTGAGGTATGTGCTCGTGATGGCGTACCGCTCTGTTCTTGACCGACTCCTGCAGGGAACGAAGAGAGCAAGTCACGGCCTTGACTTCGAAGGCAGCAGGACGTTCTGGTGGGACGAGGGCCTGAGGAACAAGTACACCCATCGGAGGAGCTGCCACGCAAACACGCAGGCTGTCAAACTGGAGGAGAGCCCTTCGGAGTCGGAACAGTCGTCATCCAACTCCCCCCGAGCTGGTCAGGACAGCCCTGACATGAGCAGCATGTCGTCCGACCTCACAGCTGTGCAAGGCCCAGCAGGACATCCAGCTGATGTGTTGGGCGGCTCGAGCGTTTCGGTTGACAGCAAGGGCAATATCTTTATCCTTGACTTGTGCAGTCACGGGGTGCGCAAGATCACTCCGAGAGGCGTCGTTTCCGTCCTCGCCAACCGAATTTCTCCTTTGCCTAACTTCCTATTGGGTGAACAAGAGCAAGACAGAAGGATGAAAACGATGCTTCAAGATGCTGTACAGATCTATGCTGAAGATAAAGATCAGTCACACGTTGAGATGACGCTGAAGATGAAGATAAGAGAGAATTGGTCAAAACGATAGCGGCATCGCCATGTGGTGAAGAGGATTTCTCTTCCTTGTTTTTGTGGGATCAATGAATAGAGCAGCAAGCAGAATCATTGATGTCTCTCAAACCTTTACTCTCTCTCTCTCTCTCTCTCGGCCGCGCTACTTGCCATCTGTTCCCAGCGTGCTAATCGGCCGGCACTCTTCTTTCACCGAGTCCCCGTCGGTCACTTGCTCCTCTTGCTGACCTTGCGGGAGCTCTGGGGGCTGTAGACAAGTAAAGAAGAAGAACCGTATGTTGAAACCGCTCACCGATCAGACGCCTTGGAGCCGTAAGAGAAGAAGATGTTCTTCTGAGCCATGGCTGAAGGCAGGTCAGCGGTCAGTGGAAGAAGGTTCAATAAGGCGAGGACTTGAAGACATGTAAGGAGTAGGAATGAAACAACAGGAAGGGACGGAGAGGAGGATGGGAAGCGATGGGATGGGAGGGAAGGAGAGCGAGCTTGAAGACAGGGGTGAAGACACTGAGGGGCAGGCAGGGGAGGGGAAACCCCGCTGAGGGGAGGGAACAACCAGCTGCCATTTCTCCCACACTCTCTGAATCAGAGCTGTCCGATGAGCTCGGTTTCAGTTTCGCTTCCGTACTGTGTGAGGTTATGAGAGAGGGTATAACAATCCTCTCCTCCTTACTGCTTGTTCCTCCTCTGCTCCTCTTGCCGCCCAGACACGTCGAGGTGGCTGTGAGGTAGATCAGTTTCAGAAGGAGCAGGAGGAGCAGGAGGAGCAGGAGGAGCAGGAGGAGCAGGAGGAGCAGGAGGAGTAGGCCTTCGGAGGGACAGAAGGGTGTTTTCTCAAGGGCAAGGCTGGAAGAAGGCTGGGGTGGTCGGCCCAGTGTGGGGGTGGGGGGCCAGGAAGGGGAGCGAAGTTTTAGTTCACCTGATATCCCAGACACTTTGCTGCTCGTCATAGACCGCGACATCTTGTATCTGCGACAACGCGGCATGACAGGTTAGGGTTCACTGATAGCCAGAGGCTGAGGACACAGAAAAGGAACCATGGAGATGGAAACTTGAAAGCACTGACTGAAAAGGAGATTGAGGGCAGAAAGAGAGGAAAAGATGATACAGGAATTTTGGGAGAAAGGAGGAAACGCGAGCCGGAAGGCCAGGAGGGAGGGACTTGATCGGAGGATGTATCAATGAACAGCAAGGGTTACCTTCTCCAAATACTCCTCGGGAATGAACGAGTTCACCACAAGCATCATGAGCTTCAGGTCCTGCCTCCATCCATCAAACCTCAGCTCAGTTCTCAGCTCATGGTTCTCAGCTCTCAGGTCTGAAGTCAGCTGCAGGGCCTCTAGAGCCTCCGCCCACCTTGTCCTGCTGGCGGATGATGTCGAGGAGATCCTCTCTCTCCCTCTGGTTCATCTCCTTGGCTGCCGGGAAAGACACGTCACTCCTTACACCTCCCTCTCTTCTCCTCCTCCTCCTCTCCCCTCCTCCTCTTCCACTCCCCCCTCCTCCCCATCTCCCTCTTCCTCTCCAGCTGCCCTCGGAGGCTCCTGTTGTTCCATCTCTCCCTCTCCTCCTCTCTCAGGCTCTTCCTCTTTCTCCTCCTTTCCCTTCTCCTCCTCGTGAGTTCGCATCACCTTCCGTGACTTGCTCCTTGACCTGCTCATACTTGCCGAAGAGCTTCTTTAGCTTCTTCGTCTTCGCCACCAGCTCCTCTTGCAGCGACGTGAACTCCTCCTCGATGTTCAGCTAGGCAGCTCCCGGTCAGTCGCTGCGCCTCCCCCTAGCTCTCCCTCAACCTGTTCGTCCTCCTTGCTCTTGAGCTGCTCTCTCAGCTCCCGTTCCTTGAGCTGGTCAGCAGCTGCGAGCACCTGCCCCACGTTCCCCCACCTTTTTCAGCTGCTCTTCGATCATGTCCCGAGCAGCCTGAGCCTTCTCCTCCAGCTCGCGGACCTGAGAACTCTTCATGACAGAAGTGAAGGAGCAGAAGAGCTCTCACTTTCTCCTCGTCCGCGTTGGATTGCATGATTTGTGCCTGACGTTTGTGAGTTCCTCCTTGTCCTTCTCCTCCTCCTCTTCCTCAGCTTTCGAAATCTCTTCCTCCTCTTTTCTCCCCCTCTCCTTCCCCATGCCCTTGTCACCTGCATGGCAGCGATTTGCTTGGCGAGATGTTCGCGGGCTCGTTGCTCTCTGACACAGGAAAAATAAAACATTTTCATGGAAACGGAGCAGAGGCAGGAGGAGGAAGAAAGAGAAGATGGAGCTCAGATGCTGTATGCTCAGTTCATCAACGCGGGAAGGGGAGTGAGGGTGACCTTGTGATCTCCTGCTCTCTTTTCTTCAGCTCAAGTTGCTTCTCTTCCTGGTCGACCGCCTGCAGGACCGTCTCACCTCCTTCCTCCCTCCTCCCTCCTCCCTCCTCCCTCCTCTCTTCTCCCTTCTGTTTCACCTCCTCATCTCCTTTCCTTTCCCTCTTCCTCACTGACCTCCTGCTCCTTGAGCGCCAGCTTCTGCTTCTCGAGCTCTCTCTGCAGGCCGGGGCACGATGAGGAAAAAACATCAGAGTGTAAGAGAAGAACATGTGCGTGAGAGGAATGAGAAGATCGAGAGGGAAACAAGATCAGAGGAGCAGAAGGAGTGAAACAAGCCCCAGAGGCAGCAGGTGGTGGTGGTGGAGCAGGAGCAGGAGCAGGAGGTTAAGAGCAGGTGCAGGAGCAGCAGCAGGAGCAGCAGCAGGGTAGGAGGAGGAGGTTAAGAGCAGGTGCAGGAGCATGAGCAGAAGCAGGAGCAGAAGCAGAAGCAGGAGCAGAAGCAGGAGCAGAAGCAGGAGCAGGAGCAGGAGCAGGAGCAGAAGCAGAAGCAGAAGCAGGAGCAGGAGCAGGAGCAGGGAGAGAAGCAGGAGCACGAGCACGAGCAGGAGCAGGAGCAGGGAGAGAAGCAGGAGCAGGAGCAGAAGCAGGAGCAGGAGCAGAAAGCACCTTAGTTTCCTCTAGCTCTTCGGTTGACATGGAGACAATCGCGTCCTCGTGGTGGCCTCCGGCTGAGAGGCTGCCGGAGGGATGAGCCCCTCCTCGAGTTGCTAGCTGGGCCTTGAGAGCTTCGATCTCTTCTTGGAACTGAAGGAGAGGAGGTTAGAGGAGGAGAGAGAGAAGGGGAAGGAGCAAACGAGGCCAGAGAAGAGAGTTGAAGTCGTGAGAGAAGGGGAGATGGCAGAGGAAAGCAGTGGGCATGCATGAGAGGAGAAGGGAGAGAGGAGAGGAGAAAAGAAGGAGAAAGACGGAGAGCGATTGAGCAGGGAAGATGGCGTAATCTGTTGCAATAACAATCCAGCAGGAAGATGGTGCGTGTGTGGAGGGCAGGGGGACAACAATGAGAAAGACCTGTCGCAGCATTGCATCTTTGGGGTCCTCGTTGATCTGCAATGCAATTGAGCTAAGTCGAGGTGGAGGAGGGTAGGAGAAGATCGAAGAGAATAGGCTTTAGAATAATGACACCACTAACCTTCGGTTTGTTCTTGATAGACTTTGCTCGGTTTGCATACCTGCGATCCCCCACTTGATTTTCAGAATCCTCCTCCTCCTCCTCCTCCTCCTCCTCCTCCTCCTCCTCCTCCTCGCCCTCCACCACCACCTCCTCCTCCTCCTCCCCATCCTCATCCTTCTCCTCCTCCTCTATGCACCGGAGAGTCGACAGCGTCTCGTCATAATTGTAATCTGCCGGCCCAATGTTTGCAACCATCACAGTCCTAGTATTGCCTCCCAGAGAATCCTGCACAGAGATGAGATGCGCTCGCAAAAATGAGCAAGATAAGCAGGTGATGAGATGATGAGAACAGGAGAAGGAGAAGAAAAAGGATCATGAAAGTTATGATGAAGAGTAGGAGGAAGGAGGAAGGAGAAGGAGGAGGAGTTAGGTGGTGGAGATTGCAAGAGGAGGAGGAGCTGTTAGGTGGTGGCGGTGGTGGTCGAGGAGGGCGAGATAGGAAGAGAAGGAGGACCTGGAGCAGCCTCGTTAACTTGCTGTCTCTGTACGGGATGTGAGCTGTCTTGGCATCGACTAGTGCGCTGATAACGTTTCCAAGAGCTGAGAGAAGTAGCGTGAGATGGAGGAGACGAGGAGAGACGAAGCTACACATCGGTTGTCATCAAAAATGACTACAAGGCAAGAGCATCCACCAACGCAGGCGCAGCAGCAGCAGCAGCAGCAGCAGCAGCAGCAGCAGCAGCAGCAGGAGGCATGGGAAAGGAAGAAAGAGTAATTTCATGTCACCACTCAGCGACAAGTTGATCTTGGTTGCTTCCTTCAGCCTCTCGCCGGTCGCCCCTGTCTTGCCCTGACGCTGTGCAACATGTTACTCACATATAAGGGAATTCTGAAACGAGATGGACGAGGACGAGGACGAGGACGAGGACGAGGACGAGAAAGGGGACAAGAAACCTCGGATCCCGCAAGATCGACAAGGTTGAGTTTCCCAACGCTGACGAGAATTTCAGTTGAGAACAGTGAGATGCAGGAAAGGAAGGAAGAGGGGAGAGCGCAAGGAAGGAAGGAGAGGAGAGAGGAGAAGAGGAGAGCAAAGAGAGGAGGAAAAGGGGGAAGCGGAAATGGCGGAGGAGTGAGGAAGGCAACCATACCGGACATGGGACTCTCCTCTATCATCAGTTTTGCTGCTTTCGACCTGCGAAGCTCTAAGGAGTAGGAAAGGAAAGAGGAGCAAGGACGACAAAGATGCCTCCTCCTCCTCCTCCTCCTCCTCCTCCTCCTCCTCCTCCTCCTCCTCCTCCTCCTCCTCCTCACTGTGACATCAGCATGACCGTTAACCCCAACACTCCATCCTCATCCCTTCGTCTGCTCCCCTGCTCGCCCTCTCGCACGTACCACAATGGTAAAGACTGAGTGGGACCGAGAGCTCTCCGCGTTCATCAACGTTGCGCCTATCTGGGTCAACGAGCTCTCAGTGAACTGACAGGAGAAGCCGATCGAGCTCACTGATCGATTCCTCTTGCCAGCCAGCATGACCTGCAGGAAATCAGGTGGGTCAGAGCTGAGCGAATTAAAGCAGGACAGGAGGTTCAATTCCACACTCCTCCACCTCCTCCTCCTACTACTACTACTATCTCT